AGTTTGGTGTTTGAAAGATCCACAGCCAGAAGCTTCCCTCTCAGCAAACATGGGGCGTGACTTCCCCAAGCCCAAGCAAGGTGGGGGCTTTCATGGAGAACCAAGGATAGAGGAAGGACCCTGCAGGAAACGACAGCCACGTAAGGTCCACCCCCTGAGTGCTCCATCACAATCGAGGCCCAGAGGGGCAGGGTGGACAGGTGCCTCCCCAGACGGACAGCCAGACTCGCCAACTCAAAGGGGACTGTTGAAGGTCTGGTGGAACCCCCTAAGTTTGAAAGCTAGCTCAGGCCAATAGTGTTAGCGGCTCAGGCAGCCATGGGGGCTCCAGAAACTCTGGATGCTATGAGACTTTAGGCATTCTGTTCCACATTCCACCCCCTTTTGATGAGGTTTCTACTCTTGGAATCTTTTAAAGAGCCTTTTGGACAGTAGGATATCAATTCCACCACACACACACACACACACACACACACACCACATTCCTCTTGCTCCTGTAAAGATGACCATCAAGTACCACGTGTTCAACCACAAAGCCCAAGAGTCCTCCCTGGCCCGCCGACGGGAATCCTGCGGTTTCTGTGGCCTTTAGGCAGGGCTCCCTCACTGGCCCGTCCCTTCCAGCGCATCCTCTGTGTCTGTGCCCTCTCCGGGCAGCTATGAAAAGCCGTCTGCTGCTCCTCCGGGCCTCGTGCCAACACTAGCCCACGGAGGGAGGCGGGCTGAGCGTGGCAGCGAGCCGTGACAGACCTCGAATTCAGTACCCCGCTGACATGGTTGTTGGCACACCACAGCACTGTGAGCTACAGCAGCACCACCCCACCCCTCGCCCCACTTTTCAATGGAGCCCCAGGGGCACAGGGACACCATGGGGCCGCATCCCATCCAAGAAGAGGCCAAGCTCCACCTGAGCCATCTCCTGCAAACGAGGAGGGAAGCCCAAAGTGTCCCGTCCCTGGGGGTTTGTGGGCGTGGTGCAGACAGCAGGTCTCGGCATGGCTCATCTCGTAGCGAGTATGGCAGGCACCCCGGGCCACAGGGCCCATGTCAGCATGCTCTGGGCAGCTGGGCTGGGGCTGGGGCTGCTGTTCCCTTGCAGGCTGTTTCTTCAATGTCTTGAGGCAAGAATGAATACAGCCTGTGTCTCCTCCCCTTCAAACCATGGTGGAGTCAGGGGGTGGGGGTGGGGGCGGTGGCTGTCCAGTGGGTCTTTATCTTGGAGGTTACCAGGGAGAATGTCAAGGAGGGCATTTCTTTCTATGGCCAAGAACCCTTTCCAGCAACTTAAAACGAAGAGCACCCCAAGAAAGCCACTGAGCAAGCCAAGCCACTTGGATTGTCCACCAGTCCTCTGTTTACTGAAGGCCTACGGTGTCCCCACTGTCTGTCAGTCTGTCCTTCTGAGGCTGGCTGTGATGCCGGAGGCTACACCAGCAGTATTTCAAACACCAGCAGGGTCACCTGTGGTGGATGGGTTTCGGCGGAGCTTCCAGGCTAAGCTTCCAGCCCCGGAGCATGCTGCGGAGCCCTGGAGATGATAACTCTGCTGTGTAGGCCAGTGCTGGATGGGCACTCGCTGGAAGGCACTCGGCATGCCCAGCAGCCTCGGCATCGGATGCGGGCAGCCTGACCCCCGTGACGGTGATGCCAGACCGGACAGCGGCTGTGGGGTGCACGCGTCATCAGGAGGCGTCCTCTGGGTCAACGCCACAGACCCCAGTTTTGCTTCTCTGTCACTGTGTGCCCAGAAGGCTCCTAGAGGCAAACATGGTGAGGCGCCATCACGCATACTTGAGGCAGGTCATCAGGAGGGAGCAGCCCCCGGAGAGGGACTTCCTGCTTGTTCAGGGAGAAGCCCCGTGGGGGTAAAGAAGACCCTCGACGAGATGGATGGACCTGGTGGGCACGACAGTGGGCGCAGACGTAACCGCGGTGGTGAGGATGGTGCAGGACCGACCGGGGATGTGTGTCGCATGGCTGCACAGCAGTTGGGACTAACTTGGAGACACCTAACAACACCGCCACCCAGCACTTAGCCCAGGGAGAGGATGCCTGGGACTCCTGGGCTCCCACCTCTCGGACGGAGCAGGGGTGGGGCCGGAGCTGTGTCCTGTAGGTCATTTCCTGTATGAGATGTCTGACCTGAAAAATGGAAGCCAGGCGCTGACAACAAAACAAATGTTGCTGAGGGGCTGGTGTACTGTGCCCACCTGTGTCTCAAAGAGTCATGACTCCTGTCTGGCGCGGGCACAGGGTGGCACCCAGTGGATGAGTCCCAAGGACGCCGCTCCTCGCTGTGGGCTGGCCGAGCGGGTGGCACCGTGTTCGCCTCCTCTGTGGGGGTTTCTGCTGCAAAACCAAAGCTGTGGGGACGTGGCGGGAGGGGACCGGTCACTGCAGACAAACATCTGGCAATGAAGATGGGAGTCTTCTCTTGCCTCCCCCTTGTCCTCCCTGACACACGAGACCCAGGGGCAGGGGTGGCGGCACAACCCCCCACCAGTCTCTCAGTCATCTCCCCCTGTCCGTGGGGTGCATCATCAGAGGGCCAGCGGGGGGCTGATGCCACTTGCTTCATGGGCTTGGCTGAGGGAGCCGGGTGCTCCCTCCTCGGCCTGGCTCCCTCTCTGCTCCTCTTGGGACACCCCTAGCAAAGCCCCAGGAGCCTCGGTGGCATAATGGTTGCTCATTGGGCTGCTAACTGCAAGGTCAGCGGTTGAAAACCGCCAGCCACCCCAAAGGAGAAATATGAGGCGCTCTGCTCCCATAATGATTGACAGCCTCGGAAGCCCCCAGGGGCAGTTCTACTCTGTCCTGTGGGGTCCCCGAGAGTCGGCATTGACAGGACAGCAGTGCGTTGACAGCAAAGTGCCACAGCACAGGGGCAGAGGGCTTCAAGCAGCCAGCATGGGTTCTCTCGCTGTTCCAGAGCCCCAGGTGTGAACTCAGGGCGCGGCAGAATCCTGGAGGGTCTCTGAAGGTCTCTCCAGTCTGGTAGCCCAGGCTTTCCTTTGCTTTTGACCACATCACTCTTGTTCTGCCTCCAGTGACAGGCCGGCTTCCCCATCCCGTCCCCTCTCCTCTTTGCCCAGGATGCCACTCTGGGGATTAGCCGCCCCATCCCCCATCCCAACGGCACTGAGGGCTCCTCTGAGAAAAGACCCGGTCAGTGTCCAAGTGAGGCTCCCAGCTAACCTGACTCCCACCCCACCCAGGCAGCCCATCGCTCGAGCCTCGCCGCCCCACCCGAAGTGCCTGTGCCCTGACCTCTCTCCCCTCCTGCTGTCTAGTCCTGAGCATCGGGGAAGGCGGCTTCTGGGAAGGCAGCGTCCGCGGCCACGTTGGATGGTTTCCAGCCGAGTGCGTGGAGGAGGTGCAGTGCAGGCCTCGGGACAGCCAGGCAGGTAAGACGGGGCATCCCCGCGAGCCCCCCGGTTTCTCTGCCTTCCTCTCTGCTGCCCAGGGACTGGGTCTGTCTGGTGAGGGATTGTGTGTCGTGCCAGACAGACGCTGGGACACAGGACGCAGGAGCCTTAGACCAGTGGTTCTCAACCTTCCTCATGCCGCGACCCTTTCATACAGTTCCTCGTGCGGTGGTGACCCCCCAACCATACAATTATTTTCTTTGCTACTTCAGAACTGTCATTTAGCTACTGTTATGAATCCGGTGACCCTGTGAAAGGGTCGTTCAACCCCCAGGTTGAGAACCACTGTGTTAGAGGCTTCTAAGAGTTATTGGAAACCGGCCCTTGGTTGATTGCATGACTCTGGGCTTTGTCCAAACCAGAAACCCACCAACTAGTGGCCTCGTGGGAGCCCTGGTGGTGTAGTGATGACACGTTGGCTGCGAATCCCCAGGTCAGCAGTTCAAACCAGCAGCCGCTCCTTGGGAGAAGGAAGGAGGCTTTCATCTCAGAAACTCCCAGGGGCAGTTCTACCCTGTCCTGCAGGGTGGACGTGAGTCGGCATCACCTCGGTGGCCGTGAGTTTGGTTCGGTGGTGTAGTGACTTGTCGTTGCTGTGTGTGCCGGTGGTCAGGGGAGAAAGGCTGTTAGTGGTTGACTGGCACCTGGAACCTCGCCCGCGGTCTCTGATGTCCAGATCGCAGAAACACGGGCAGTGTGGCGTGTGCTGTGTGTGCAGGGGCCGTGGCGAACTAAGCTCGGAGGAGCTGTGTGTCTGTCTTGGAGCGCACAGTGGGGCTGTCGGGGGTAGCGCACAGTGGGGCTGTCGGGGGTAGGCAGTCAATGCCTCAGCTCATTGGCACGTTGGCCAAAGCCCATGGCACAGCCTCTCGGTTGGCATGTGAGAGACCCCGGGGTTTGGGGAACAGGAGGCTCCGAGTGTCTTGGGAGGAGAGACTGGTCCAGGCGCTTGTGGCCTCTATGAAGAGGCTACCTGGCTGGTCATTCGTGTGGCCGGGCCATTTCACCGTGTGGCCCCTGCCTTTGGCTAGGGGGGCTGGGAACGAGGAGTTCTAGAGGCCTGAATTCCACATCTCTCTGTCCACTGGTGTCCCTCGGAACTGCTACCCCCGTGGGTTTATCAGCAGGTTATCGGTGGGGCCTGGGAGTCTGGGCCAGGCAGCAGAGGGAACACGTCCCCCATGTCATGTGGGTGGGTATCAGAGAGTCAAGAAGAGTGAGTCTCGGGTGCTAGCTCGAAGGCTCTCAGTGGTGAGCAGGTGGGAAGGGCATCTTCCTCTGGATTGTGTGCTGGGGAGATTGAGTCCAGATTCAGCCCAGCCCTCCCTCTACCCCACAGTGTCCTGCTCAACCTGGGCTGCGCTCACCTTTTCTGGGGGCCTCTCCTCTCTCCTCCCAGCTCACTAGCTCCCCCATCCACCCGGAACTCACCCTAGAGTCCCTCCTGCCCCGCAGCCCCACGGCTCTTTGTCCATCCCCGGAGAAAAGGCCCGGCCATGCAGTGCCCCAAAGAGTTGGGCACCATGCCCCTTTGCAACAGGAGGTGGGGCTCCTGGCCAGGAAACCCAAACGGAGCAGGCACACCAAGCGGACATGGGAGCAGAAGGGAGCCCCGAGGGGTCTGTGTGGGTGGTAGGATTTGTGGCCAGAGGGCTGGGACCTGTCCATCAGTGGCTAGGCACCTCACCCTGTGTGCCACTGGGCTCCCACGGCGTGCTGCCCTCAGCCTCTGTAGAGGGGGCGATTCTGGGCAGCACCCAGAATCCTGGGCAGCACCCAGGTATCCTGATCAGTGTGGCCTTGGGCCGCTCAGCAAGCGTCCAGTGGTTCCCACGCAGCGGCCACTCTGAGGGAGAACGATGTGGCCATCAGTTTACATGACAACATCCCAGGACACCCCGGGTGCTGTCCAACGCTGTCCCACCCACAGGGTGGCTGTGAGTGAGTAGCCTGGTTGTCAGTGAGTTTGGGGGTTCTCTTTATTGGGGGCACAGGCTTCTGAGCTGCTGGGTGTTCTGGCAGCGCTGTGACAGGTGGAGCGTGTTGGGGTGATTCTGGGGGTGGCTTTGGGGGTCTCCTGAGAAGGACTTGTAAGATCATGTGCTGACTTGCTGATGAGGCCAGATGTGAGCTCAGGTGTTCTTCCCGGAAGTGAGACCCTCGGCACAGAGGGTGGCGCCCCAAGGCAGGGGAGTGGCTGTGCGGGTGTCCACTGTTGGCATCTCGGTTGGGGTCACCGTGTTACCTCTGAAGGAGGCGTGGGCGGCCCACACAGGGACTGCCCTCGGCCACTCATTGGAAACCTGACTCTTGGTGCCTCGGAAGGGTCCACAGATGCTGAAAAATGTCAGGCACACAGTCCTACCCCGACCCACTGGGGGCACGGGGAACCTGGGGTCACAATGGCATCTGTGTCACAGGCATCTGGGTCAGAGAGTTGACTAGAGAAATAAATCCAGGGAGACTCCTGTGTGTATAAGAAAGAGTTTTATATAAAGGGTAATTGTACATTAAGAAAGCATCCCAGCCCAGTCAAGATCAAGTCCATAAGCCCAATATTAGCCCATATGTTCGATACCAGTCTATAAAGTCCTCTTCAGACTCACACAACACATGCAATGATGCCAAATATAGAAAGATCACAGGCCAATGGGCGGGAAGTCTTGTGGATCCAGTGGTGTTGTAAGCATCCCAGCACTGGCAGGGGTCTCCACATGGCTCCTCCAATCCCCAGGGCCTGGGGTCCATCAGCATAGTGCCATGTGTCTTGTTGGTAGAGCGTCTCTTAGAGAGTGAGCAGAGAGAGTGAGTGTCTCCCCGCTGCAAGGAGGAAGTTCACAAGTTCCCAGAATCCTCAGGAGAAGGCCATGCCCAAACAGAGGCCTCATTGGCTATATCCTGATTGACAGGCTAGACTCCACCCCTTCACTCTTAATCCTCAAATTGATGCTGGATTATGTAACTACGACACAGGACATCTGGGGTCATGGGGCACCTGGAATCTCAGGCATGTGGGGTCTCTGGGCACATGACATCATGGGGCACCTGAGGTAATGGGACACCTGGGGTCACCAGGCATCTGGGGTCAGAGGGCACTTGGGGTCGTCAGCAGGTCAGAACTGACTCTCAGATGCTGGGCCATTTGTTTCTAATTCTCCCTTGTGCACCATCTGGCCAGGTCTCCCTTCGTCCCCCTGTCCTTGCGTGCCTCGTCCACTGTAGTCGTAGGCGAACACAGCTCCGAGACGTCTTCATACCTGGCTGTGTGTTGCGCACACGCACGGCCTCCTGAGAGGTCCTGCGCCGCCCCCCACCC